TTTGTTCTTCCCCTCTAGTACTAATGGCTCATGCCTGCATTCTCAGCTACTCAAGAGTGCTAAGGCAGAAAGATTGCATGGTCAAGGTGTGGCTGAGATAGAGTGAGTTCAAGGCCAGTCTAGGCAATTAAGTGAGAACTTGTCTTGAAATAAAAATTTAAGAGCAAGGCTGGGGATCTAGCTCAGGATAGCTAAGCACTGGCTTACATACACAAAGCCCTAGCTTTAAGAAAACAAAAAGTGCTTTTTTTCATAAATAAAGCCCATACCATCATTTCATACGCGCACACACACACACACACACACACACACACACACACACACACACAGTATATATGCTATAAATTAGCATACAAAATAGCAATTTTTCTTATGGCATTTTTTGGACATATTTAGTTTTGCTACCCCACCCCCACCTTCCTATGTTCTGTCCCCAGTGTTGCTTCTGAGCTTGTATACCTCTTTTTATTTTTTAAAAATAAGAAACACAGGAGTACTTTATATTTACTTATAAGATACCTGGAGTCTTGAGATATCCAGAATATTTTCAAGTATTTTCTTTTTTCCCCAGAATAAGGGTGAAAGCATCAGGTATTAGAGGATGGCAATGTGAAAATGTTACTGTAGTTTTGTTGTTGAAATCAAGGAATTAGTATTTTACTGTGGAAGTAGAAATGGAGTTAGAAGGGATGGGGAGAGATGGATAGATGCATTGTATATTTAAAAGAGCATAGCACTAATCCCTTGTGATGAGAGGCAGATTTTGTTAAGCATTTTGTGTTATATGTCTGTGGTTCAGCAAGAACCCTTGAAATAACGGGTTTTATTTTTCTTTAATGAACTTCATTTTTTTTGACACGATATATAGAAAAATAGAAGAGTTGGTAGCAGGTCACATGTTTTGAGGTTGATAATGGAACCAGGACAAACTCTCCTGACTCTAACATGAGTCAGAATCTTGGTACTGTCTTTTATAATGTGTTAGTCCTTAAAGTAGAATACTTTGTTCATGAAGCATCATAGAAATGAGAACAATAAAAGATACAATTAATTAAAATCTTTAGAACAACCAGCAGCATTAATAATATATAAGCCTCTAAAACATGCGGGAACTTCAGCTTACTCTCTTGTCTCTGTGGGAAAACCTGGGATAAACGTTTCTTTCATCATAGTCAATAAACTGCATTTATTGGACTTGGGTTTTTAGATTTTCAAAGAAAATCTTAGCCAATATCTTACTCCTCCCTACACAGAACATCTGAGTTATTAATAACAATTGCCCACCTGAACTCAGTGTTTAACTTTATGCATATGTTCTTGTGAAGTTCACAAGATCTTTGCAAAATAGATGTTGGAATTTCCAGTGTATAGGTGAGAAAGCAGACTGGTAAATTATAGAAATATTTCTCAAGAGCACTCCTCCCTTCAGCAGCATCAGCAGGAGCTTGTTAGGCAAATTCCAACCCCATCCCCACCTTCACTGAATCAGATTTTTAGGAGTGGAGGTCTGCTATTCTTTTTTAAAGAAAAAAATCTCAGGTGAATCTTATGCATGCTGAAGTTTGAGAATTGTTGGATTATACAATCCTATGTAATACTGCTATATTAACGGGAGCAGAGTTCCAGACCTGGTATATTTGGCTTTCCAATTCACAGAGACCATCTGGCCTTCTGAGCAGTGCTCTGTCAGAGATACGCTGGGCTTGCTCTAGGTTTTTCTCTCTCCCCATCCTCATCTGTCTTGCCAATAACTATTCTGTTTAGTATATGTGAAAGAAGAAACAATTTAAACCAGAGGAACTTATTTAAATCTTTTAAATAAGAGAAACTTAAAAAAAAATATTGCTTTGAAGAGCCGTCTAGGTCTGATCTCTTTCCCTTGTGAAACATGATATATCTTTGCAGAGGATTCCTTGAAAATGAGAACTGATCAGTTCCAGTGATGTCTTCTGACAGTCCCTGAAGTCGTAGTGTTCTCTGTGTTTTCTTCTGCATTCACAGCAATAGCCTGGTGTCAGACAAGAAGATGCAAAGCACATTCTAGTTGGCTGATTGATAGAATGCACGCATTCTGTCTGATCTTTACACAGGCCATTCTGGAATGTTGGTGCTGTGTGCTATATGCTCAGCCAAGCCACAGACATGTTGGTATATTCTGGTTTTACTGTTCACCAATTGTATGATAGTTGTATGATCTGTGTATGTTATCTGAGTCCTCTGTTATCTTATTCCTCAACTAAAAAAATAGAGATGATGGTGTCCTGTGTGCTAAATTTGGTTCTTTGAGAATACTTTGAAAACCATTGGGTGCAACACAAATGTGCAACCATGTTCTGGAATGCACTGAAGAACAACTTCCGGGCTTGGGTGTCATGAGGCTTTTGAGATTGAGTGAAGTGGTTTTCTTCAGACTAGAGAGTGAGTGCATTTATCAGCAGACACTGCACAGAATGAGGAGGCATGTGTGTGTTGCAGAGGACCTCAGGCTCTGCACCTACTCAATCCTGGCTTCAACTTACCAACTGATCCTTTCTCTCAGCTCCAACTGTAAAATGGATGCCAGAAGAGCTACATATGCAAGTCATTGTGAGGAAAGAGGTTGGACTGAGGATAAGAATTGGGAGTCAGTGGTTATCAGTGAAAGCCCAAGCCATGAGCTGGGACAGGGTCTCCTGAGAAAGATGTGGAGTAGGAAATGACAGGGCTCAAAAAGCACTGGGTGAGAAATTAGGACTACCGGGGTCCTCATGTGACATCTTATGGTGTACCTGGGTCTCTTGGAAGCTCATTTTCTTAGTTCCTGGTCCCTATCTTAGCCTTTCTTAATGCCAAGAAGCTACAAAGGTTTAGATAATCCCTGTAGCAGGTTACAATGTCACGTGACCACAGGCCCAGATAATTCTATATGGGTTCAGGCTTATTAAAAACTCATCTGTTTGGTTGGTGTGTGTGTGTGTGTATGTGTGTGTGTGTGTGTGTGTGTGTGTGTGTGTGTGTGTTGGAAAAGAGCTGCCAATGTGAAGAATGATTTCCTCTGAAAGGGGCAATTGTTATTGGACTCTCTGGATTCTTGCCTGTGGCAGCATGAATCTGGGAATGCCCAGACATCTGACTTGAAGAGAAGCCAGAGTCTGGAATTTTTAGTGACATTTTCAGGTTTTCTACTGTTGGCAGAATGGAGGGGGAAATTGTTTTGTAGCCCAAGTAACACACATCTGTGGGCCAGATTTAAGTATGAAGGGCCAGCTGGTGGTCTCTGCTGTAGTGTTCTGTAAACAAGGTCTGTTATTATTGGATGCTTTGGAATTTATAATAACCTCCCAGGAGCCATTATGTTGGGGCCCTTCTAGGAATACACCATGTTTTCTTGTTACCTTCAAAACTGGCCCTAACCCCCAAGACCAGGCCCATTTTGATACAGATGCTAGGGGCTTTTAAATTTATGCAACATAATTTGCACAAGATAAGTCCAGATATTTAGGCAGACTGGAGAACTCTGTCTCCTTAGAGGGGAGATTAGGGAAAAGGCATTACATTGTACCTGCTTCTGGAACATTAAGCATCAGTGCATACACTGAACCACTGTATGAAAATGACCCACAGGTTTTCTTTATCACTCTTCTGTGTGTATGTGCATATGTGCACACATGTGTGAAAGCCAGAGGTCAGTCTTGGGCATCATTCTTCAGGCACCCTTCACTCCCCAGGTTTTGTTGTGACAGGGTCACTTGCCAAGACTTCAGAAAGTAAGCTAGATTGGCCAGAGCTCTGAACTGTGCCTATTCCCACGTCCACAGTGCTTGAGATTACAAGCACTGGCCAACATACTTGACTTTAGGTTGTCTATCTCTTTCTTAGGCATAGTTTTGCATTGACCCCCTTTTTCACTTTGTGTTACAGAAAAAAGAGTTTGATGTGGACACCCTCAGTAAATCAGAGCTACGGATGCTCCTCAGTGTGATGGAAGGGGAACTAGAGGCAAGAGACCTCGTCATTGAGGCCCTGCGGGTAAGAATAGTCTGGAGCCCTGTCTTGTTCATTTCTCAAAGGGCCAATAGCAGAGCTGTGTTTCCTCTTAATTTTTTAATCATTGAGTTTAAAATGTTATATTGGATTAATTAATACATGCCCCAACATTTCAACTATCAACCTTTAACCTTCATAAAGCACACAAAACTGCTTTATGAAGCAGTTCTTGAGAGGATGGGACAAAAAATAGACTGTTGTGATGGGAGATATGAGAAATCTACTGTGCTAATTCAGGAGTGCTTATATATCTCACATGTTTAATTGGCTAAAGACATTTCATTTTAGAAAATTAGTACTTTGATATCTTCTATGTATATGATATGTATAGGGAAAAATTAAGAGAATCATTTACAAAAATATTGCTGCTAATAGATCTAGCATGGATGATAATTTTCATTTTCAGAAATTCAAAATTTAAAAGAAAATGTTTGTTTATATCATCAAATTGTTTTATTTTTATCAGAATGTACAGTAACAAAAATATTTCCATAATGACTTACAAAGATTATGTCAAATGCCTCAATTACAATTTCTTTCTGAAAGAACAATGTTGATTAAACCTTCTTGATGTGGTTTTCCAGTTGGACAGTCTAGGTCTTGGCTTGTTTTGGTATGTCAATTAAATAAAAGTTTGGGTTTGATTGTTTTTCCTATTTTATATTCATTCATTTGTGTATAATAAGATATGTTCTCAGTTATTTGGTGAAGAGGGTTGGGTTTATTACCCACAGAGTATGAGTTTATCTTATTTCATCAAGAATATTTTCTTAGCCAGGCATGCCTTTAATATCAGTCTTTGGGAGGCAGATGCAGGTGGATCTCTGTGAGACAGAGGTCACCCTGTTCTATAGAGCAAGTTCTAGTTTGGGTGCGGCTACAGGGAGAAACTGTCTTAAAACAAAACAAAGCCAACAGGAGCAAAAAAGAGTACTTCCTTATACTTTGTTTAAGGGAGTTTATTTTACACATGAAAATCTGTAAAATGTCAACACTTTGGTCCCTATGAGGAGAACTTTTATGGTTGCAAGGGAGGTTGGAGTGGTAGATGGACACACATGGTAGAAGAAGTAGATGGATGAAAACTTAGACCTGATGGGAAGAGGAAATATTTCCTGAATTTGTCTTCAGTATAATTTGACATTTTGGAAATTTGTACAGCAGTTAAATTATTTCCTTAATTCAATGACCAAGAACAACTTCCTCAGAAAATTAGAGTATGGTTGTACCATCTACAAAACAACATTAAGCTAGAGGTGTAGATTTTTGAGTGAGAAGTTTTGCTAAATAGATATTTGCATAGTTTGGTTGTGAGGATTGTCTGCCCTGTTCTTCATTAAGAACCTATCACTAAAACATGTGATGCTCTGCTCCAGAACAGTCACCTGTGGAGAACAGTAGCCTAGCCCCTTGAAATTAAGAAGAAATTAAGGGCTCCTGCTTTCTCTGGGGCATTTTCTGTTGTGTTAACCTGCAAAATCTATTGGCCCTGTGGAATCTGCCACTGCTCACATGAATGTTTGAGCATTTAGTAGATTCTTTGCTTTTATGTTTTAGAAAGGACATGTGTTTCTCCTTTTAATTTAGTTGCAGTACTTTGAAATAGAAGAGTAGAGAAAAAGGTTTGCTAATGGTTAAGACTTTATTTTCTACAGAATCAGAATTACAAAGAACATTACACATCCTAGGTCAAAGGTTTGCATTCCCATAAATGTTCATAAAATATTTCTATTACCCTTTGCTATTCTGCCATGAAAGTTATGGATAATTTTTCAACAGATAAAAGTTATGGATAATGTATAAGCAGATTTTGTTAAAAATAAAAATCTCAATCTATTGCCACATACATTTGATATAAAGATAATAGGAAAAATTTATAGTAAGATATATATACATATATATATATTTCATATCTATAAATGCTCACACACGACTCTACTCGAAGATATGATAAAGCTGATAGCCATTGCATCTATTTATAGATTTGCTGCAAATGCACTATTTCAAGAGAATCCTGATCATAGTTTACAGTCATGTTGACTCAGATGCACTGAAGTTATTTTGCCAAAATGGTGAATAACTTCTGGTAAAATTCCTAACAAAAGTGCAGGTTTAGTTAGGCATAGTGATGTATGCTTGTGGTTCCCACACTTGAGAGGCAGAAGTAGTAAGATCATATAGTAAGTTCAAAACCAGCTTGGTCTACATAGAAAGACCCAGTATTGAACAAAAAGCAGAAAATATGGGGGGGGGGAGGGGAAAGAAAGGAAAGAAGAAAGAGAAAGGAAAAAAAAGTACACATATACATAATTGAATCTCTAAAAATTCAGTTTGTTAAAGTTATTCAGACAACTAGTTTATTGGTAGAAAGGAATTCCTCTATTATCTCAGAATGGTCATATTGAAAGCTGCAATGAAAGGAATAATATGAGGGGCACTTAAATGTTTGAGGAGGTCCTGAAAAGAGTTTCTGGGTATGTGGCAGGCTCTCAGTCCTACCCTAGAAGAGCCAAAGGCCTTGAAAAAAATTCTAGCCTGCTTCTACCTCATGTCCTTTGGAGAAACACTGGCCAAGACCGATCTCCCTTGTTTATGGATTTAAGGGAATCCAGCTATGCTAGACAGCATTCATTTGCAACTTGACACACCTGGGTAGAGGGAGCATCAATTGGAGAATTGCCTCCAGTGAACTGGCCTGTGACCATGTCTGTGGGGTATTTTCTTGATTGTTGAGTGATGGAGGAGGGCCCAGCCCACTGTGGGTAATGCCACCCCTAGGCAGATTGTTCTGTATTGTATAAGAAAGCAGGCTGAGCGTGGACCAAGGAAGTAAGCCAGTAAGCAGCATTCTTCCATGGCCTGTGCTTCAGCTCCTGCCTCCAAGTTCCTGCCCTGAGTTCCTACCTTGGGCTCCTTCAGTGGTAAACTATGACCCAGGAGATGTAAGATACCAAGTTGGTATCTGTCAAAGTATTTTGTCACAGCAGTGGAGAAACAAACTAGGACAGAAATTGGTACCAAGAGTGGGGATTAAATGCATTTTGCATTTTATATGATCATGAGCCTTTGGGGGCCACAGAGTGGATGTGGGTGGTGGTTTAAATGAGAATGTCCCCCATAGGCTTCAAGCATTTGGATATTTTGTACCCAGTTGGTGGCATTGTTTTGGGGGGTCTTAGAAGGTATGGCCTTTCTGGAGGAAGCATGTCACTGGGGGTGGACTTAGAGAGTTCTTAAGCCTTGTGAGATCTCCAGTCACTCTCTGCTTCCTATGCCTGCTTGAAGATGTAAGCACTTAGCTTCTGCTCCTACTCCAGCCACATCTGCCACCATTCCTCCCTGCCATGATGGACTTTTTCTCCTTAGGAACTATAAGATAAATAAACTATTCCTTTTATAAGTTCCCTTGGTCATGGTGTTTCTATCACAGCAACAGAAAAGTAACTAATACACCAGCCAATGTCACACATGTGGCTTTCATGGGAGCTTTCAGCTTCACAGACTTTCTATGGAATTCTGTGAGTATGGAGGCCTCTTAAAGACAAATTTTAAAAAATAATTGACGTTTGTGGTTTATATAAGTATTTAGATGATCTAATTTTAAGAGTAGGTAATAATGGAATTCTTGCATACCTGTGATACCTGGCATAGACTCAACTGCCAGGATTTGCTGATTGTTCTCTGGCATTGGATGGAAATAGTCAAATTTTTATTTGGGTCCAATATGTATCATTCATCTGTCCTTTCCTTGTGTGCAGTAGAATGAAATCTAGTGGCTAAAGAAAGCCCAGAGAGAAACTGGGAAGAGAGGATATGAATTTTTATTTCATATTATAAAATAGACTTACTCCTAAATTAAGAATCAAAGTCTTCTTAATTGGTAGCCAATATGCCATGTAACTGCAAAGGAAGTATAGTTTGACTGTTTTTAAAGTAAAAATGAATATTTTTTTATTTTAAATGGATTATGATGATACCTGATTTGTATGCTGAACTGTATTACATTTAGAAATTATCATATTATGAAGCATTTGAATTCTTCAGACTTTAAAATATTTTAAAAATATGCTCCAGACAAAGCTGCTTTGCTTTTTAAATCATATGCTCTTCCTGATGGTTTTGATTTTCAAGTTATAAAAATATCATTGATCATTGAATAGATGACAATTAACTTTTCAGAACAGTCCATAAATATAAATATTGAGGATGATAGATTATGATATGTATATTGGTATTTTTACTATTCATGTTTAAGATAAATATACTTTCAATACTGAAAGTTCATAGCTTTGTAAAAGAGTATTCACTTTTTTGAGATACAGTCTTGCTATATACCCTAAACTGTCTTCAAACATGTGATCCTCTTGCCTCAGTCTCTGGACTGCTGGGATTATAAGCATGTGCCACTATATCCATTCTAACAGCATAATTTTTTTATTAACAAGGGAATGATATTTTTTAAAGACCAATACTGACTTCTTTGGCCATATCTGCAAACTTTCTCTGTGCCTCTCTTTTTTTCCTTTTATATTAGATAAATAAATTTTGACTGTACTGAAAATATATAATCCCACCTCCAAAACTTTATAAATAGGCTAACTATTGTACCCAGATTTTCAATTATTATTTGTATTGGAATTTTTTTAAACTTAGCCAGTTTAACATCTCTTTACATAGACTGCACTTATGACTCTCGTAATGTTGAGGACTGTCAAATTATAGAATTGCCTTGTACAAGGAACTGTATTAACAGCTGTAACAAAAAGACCTAGAGTTGAAGTTTATTTCCTCAGTGTTTTGAAGAAGGGTGATCTGAGCTCAAGATGTAGCTCTGGGTCAAGGCCTCATTTGACTGCTCAGATTATTTTTGTGTTACTCCCCTCCATAGGGGGTTGACCTTATCTACCTGGTTGAAGCCAAGATCAAGGACAGCTTCTCACCAATGTACTGTGAGGGGGAAGAAAGGATGTGTAAAGGCATGC